GTATTTTAACATGCCACTTAAGATAAAAACTGTTGGCAAGCCAGGAATAAGTGGTGTGATGGTTTAAAAAATGTTCACAAATCCATTGACACTTCTCCCGTCCAGAGGTTTGTCCCCTTCACTTCAATATAGTGCAATAAAGTTCCAGCAGATTTTTTGTTGAAAATTGACAAGTTGATTCTAAAATTTATATGGAAATCAAAAGGATCTAGCATATGTAAAAAGAAAAGGTTAGAGGACTTATACTACCAGATTTCGAGACTTACTATAAAGCTTCAATAGGTAAACTAATGTAACATAAGAATAGATGAAACAGACCAAAAGAAAAGATGAGAAATACTAGAAATATATCCACAGATCTACTGATAATGAATTGAGGTTCTTTAAACTGTTCTCTCCACCTTTATATATGTTTAATGTTTTCGGTTAAGTGTTAGAAAAAAAGAAACAAATAGATCACCAAAAACAAAATAACAAAAGAAAAACAACAAATTATCAGGTAGTCATTAATATAAGGAATACTCTTGGTGCTGCAAATGGTTAAGCACTCAACTACTAGTTGAAAGGTTAGCGGTTTGAACCTACCCGGCGGCACCTCGGAAGACAGGCCTGGTTCTCAGGTCACAGCCTTGAAAACCCTACTCTGCACATGTGGGGTTGCCATGAGTCAGAATCAACTTGACAGCAACTAAGAACAACAATAAAGTGAAGGAGTGGACAACATCCTCAACAGTATCTCTGTAGTAAATTTACTAGTAGAGCTTATTAAATGCAGTTCAGCAATTTCGTAGCGGACCCACTAAGTCTTATGTTTTTGAGTCACTTCAGTTTCATCCTCATTTTATTATCTCTGAACAAAAAATGAATTTCCAATACATTTTAGGTTTGTTTGATTTAAAAATATATTATATATCACTGACTCCCAAAATACTGAGAAAATTTAATATTTTGCTTTGCCTTACCTGGTTGCTGTGTTTCCCATCTTACTGTAAAGCCTCTCTCATTTCTTAAATGCTCAGAATAGAAATGAAAATATAGAGCATTGTCACTGCTGAAGACTTCAGGAGGCGGGCTGGAGCCACAGAATCTTCCAAGTTGGAATCCTGCAGAGGAGTCTCCATCATAAACCTGAAGAAACTCATGTGGACAATTGTCTGA